CAAATCCATAAAATGCTGACACGTAACAATTTATCACAACCAAATATGAAATCATTCTGTGCAGTAGTACGGGAGAAATGTGTAACGACATTATTACTGTTTGTTAGTCCCACAGGTGTCATCAGTCCAGTAGAAATTAATTCAGTACTTGCATGAAAATACGGATATTTGTTTTATTAAAAATTGTTGTTTTTAAATCTTGGATTTTCGTTTTTCATTCAGGGTGTATCTCCATTATGCATAGCTCTGATTCCGTGTCCGGTTGTAATTCGTTTAGTCATTTTTACTTATTCCAACTCTTCAACATACGTATAAGGTTTTGGATTTTATATCGTTGAAATATTGTCCATTTCTAATTCCGTTTAATATATTCTAGTTGTAGCGGCACCAGTTGGTAATGCAATATTTTGGCGTCATTGGGCGTTCCAATAAGGTCAAAGTATTCAACATGTAACTTGTCACTAGTGATACTGGTTGTCTAGATTCATTTTTCGTTCCACGCGTAAGAACATGGTCGTATATAGTGTCATAACACAGCAGATCAAAAGACCTGTCAAGTCGTTCGTAAATGATAGGCTGATTATACAAGATATCTGGAATGATATACGTTTGTTCGTCTTCTCTCTGGGAACGGATTGTGTGAATGTTTCATGATTCTTTAAATTAATGCAAGTGTTCTGTATAGTCGGTAAAAAAATGACAAAGAGTACACTTCCTGAATAAAATGGTCGACATTATTCAGCTTTCCCCGATAAATGAATGTTAAAAATAGAGCCGTCAACAGAACCATCCTTAAGACTCATACGGCAGTGCATTTACTTAAAGCAAGAGTATTATATAAGTTATCTTATTGCTTTATTTTTGTACTAAGTAGTATACGCTTCTGAACATGTCAATCTAATAATATTAATTTGAAAAGTTCCTAAGACGATAAGTGTAATGCACAAACAAAAAATTATGTGTCCCATATAAACTTATTTTTTCGCACAAAGATTTCCAGCTATGTTAACACAACTATTTTATTCATCCAAACTAAATGCTTTGAGGAATTAATCAGATATTTGTATTTTTTAATTCTGTCTGAGTTCTTTCGACGGATATGATAAACTGATTTTAATCGAAAACACCAAGAAAGACTTGGAAATATCCCGTTACCTATTACAACAAAACACCAGAAGAGAATGGGAAATATCATCGCGTAACTTATCACAACAAAACACAACAAAAAGAGTGTGAAATATCCCGTCACATATCACAACAAAACACCAGAAAAGAATGGGAAATATCATCACGTAACCTATCACAACAAAACACAATGAAAGAGTGGGACATATCCAGTCACACATCACAACAAAACACAACGAAAGAGTGAGAAACATCCCGTCACCTTTCAAAACAAAACAACAGGAAAGAATGGAAATTTTCGTCACCTATCACAAAAAACACCAAGAATGAATGGTAAATATTCCGTCACCTTTCATAATAAAACACCAGGAAAGATTGGGATTTTCCGTCACCTATCACAATAATCACAAGGTAAAAGTGAGAAATATCCCGTCACCTATCACAACAAAACACTAGGAAAGATTAGGAAATATCCTGTCACCTATCACAACTAAACACTAGGAAAGATTAGGAAATATCCTGTCACCTATCACAACTAAACACAAGGGAAGAGTGAAAAATATCCCGTCAAGTATCAAAAACAAAACACCAGGAAAGAGTGGGAAATATCCCGTCACCTATCACAACAAAACACCACGGAAAGAATAGGAAATATTCCGTCACCTATCACAATTAAACACAAGGAAAGAGTAAACTGAAGTCTTCAACTACTGGTGAAGATTGAAACACTCGAAACAAGAATGCCGTATCTGTATAAGGCAATTTGTCCTTGTAGGTTTTTCTTTATTTGTCATTGTCCGAAAATCTGGAGACATTTCAGCATGTGAACTTCATAACTTGCACAAGCAGATTTAACTGCATTTGGACTAAATTGATCATATTGGTTTAATATATTTGCTATGAATTAACCAATGGTTATTATACTGTTATTATACTGAGGGAGATTGCAGGAGGTGAAGAAATAGTACTATAGTCCAAGAAATGCAATTTCATTTGATTTACTTTTGTTTGCTAAATTGACATCACTCTCAGGTTTGTTTGATTAAGTTTTTAAATCTCGTAAATCGAATAAGATACAAATCAACAAAACAATATCAAACTGAATAAAATCGCTTGAACCTCAAGTTGGAGAACAAGGTCAGGTGGGACGACAGGGTAAGCGTGTACTGCTATGGAGAACATGGTCGGGTGGGACGACAGGGTAAGTGTGTACTGCTATCGAGAACAATGTCTGGTGGGACGACAGGGTACGCGTATACTGCTATGGAGAAGAAGGTCGGGTGGGACGACAGGGTAAGAGTATACTGCTATGGAAAACAAGGTCGGGTGGAACGACAGGGTAAGTGTGTACTGTTATAGAGAACAAGGTCTGGTGGGACGACAGGGTAAGTGTGTACTGCTATGGAGAACATGGTCTGGTGGGACGACAGGGTAAGTGTGTACTGCTATGGAGAACAAGGTCTGGTGAGACGACAGGGTAAGCGGTCGGGTAGGACGACAGGGTAAGCGTATACTGCTATGGAGAACAACGTCTGGTGGGACGACAGGGTGAGCGTGTTCTGCTATTGAGAACAAGGTCGGGTGGGACGACAGGGTGAGCGTGTACTGCTATGGAGAACAAGGTCTGGTGGGACGACAGGGATATCAAAACAAACAGCATGTATTCATTTTAACAAAGAGAAACAATGTTTGATTCTATGCTGCTTTAAGGTAAGACAATTACTGAAAACGCATGCATCCAACATTTATTCGATTTTCATCGTAAAAATCTTACAAAATATATCTTCACAAGTCGGCCCAAGCTGTCAATGTAAACTGCATCGTTAATGCATGCATATAAATCTTCATTTTGAGTGCGAGAGACTGTTTCTAATAAATATATTAAAGGAAAGGTGAATTAAGAAATTTTTTAAATACAATAAGACACACTTCAATAAATATTTGAAATATTACTTTTTGATTAATAACTAAGTGAATACATGTCGTTTCGTTGTTTATACTTCCAACAGCGGCCGCCATGTTTAAAATATTGCTAACAAATGCCAAAATGTGAATTTTTCAATCAAATTTTGATACAAAAAGTTTGATATCTAAACTTATATGGTTTTCGATTTCATTTAAAAGGAATATATTGTCGATCTTTTTAGGGGTTGGGAGGATATTAGTAACATTGAATAAGCTGAGAAAATTGATTATATAATAAGGTCACATTGCAATTTCATCACGTTTTAACAAAGAAGTCAACGGAGGCTGTGTGGTTATGTTACCTCAATTTTAAAACTTATTTTGAAGCAAGAAGTCATATGTCTGAACTGAAACTTTAAACATTTTTAATTGTAAAAATGAATATACTGTAAAACGCGGGGTAGGGAGGTAGAATACACAATGTAAAAAAAAAAATTAGACCGTTTAATCTTTGCACCCCGTTCATTTTCATTGATAATCAATCGGCCATTAATGATATACAACTGAAGTGTAAAAGTCACGTGATGACCGCTATAGTTGGATATGTATGGAGAACAAGGTCGGGTGGGACGACAGGGTAAGCGTATACAACTATGGAGAACAAGGTCGGATGGGACGACAGGGTAAGTGTGTACTGCTATGGAGAACAAGGTCATTTGGGTCGACAGGGTAAGTGTGTACTGCTATGGAGAGCAAGGTCGGGTGGGACGACAGGGTAAGTGTGTACAGCAATGGAGAACAAGGTCGGTGGGACGGCAGGGTAAGCGTGTACTGCTATGGAGAACAAGGTCGTGTGGGACGACAGGGTAAGCGTATACTGCTATGGAGAACAAGGTTGGGTGGTACGACAGGGTAAGCGTGTACTGCTATGGTGAACAAGGTCCGGCGGGACGACAGGGTAAGCGTGAACTGCTATGCAATCATCACCCACCATACGAATCAATACTCACCAAAATATAACAATCGGGAACCAATCGGTAAATTTAAAGTCTTTATCTTACGATCTAATACTGGGAAACATGTCTGGTAAGTTTACACACCGTTACATCCAATCGGTTTACACACCGGCACATCCAATCGGTTTGAACATGTCTGGTAAGTTTATACACCGGCATATCCAATCGGTTTACACATCGGCGCATCCAATCGGTTTGAACATGTCTGGTAAGTTTACACACCGGCACATCCAATCGGTTTGCAACTAATTCGAAATGGCGACCGTCAAACTTTAGTAGTGTCAGTCTTTTCAAGATTGTTGGACAATGTTTTGTTTAAGGAGCACATCGCTGTTAATGAAGTCCGTAACGTGTAAACATGCTCGAGCGTAACGTACTTATTGGGATATGTAAAGGTCATACGATGGGACGGAGGGTCCAATGCTGCAGTGAAATGGCAAGTTGACAATCTTTAAAAGTTGAAAGCATTACGTTTGTCATAGATTTTAGTTAGAAGTTATATATAGATGTAAATATCAAGGAAAAATCAAGATATGATTCAGACCTTCTAGTTTCGATAATATCCTTAGTATCAACTCATCTTGTATAGATCAAGACCGTTAATTAAGGTTTATTTTAAATTCCTTGAATAATTATTTCCATCACGTAGCAGTAATGCACTTTCTCAAACGTTATTTTCTACTAGCACATAACAATACTCTAGAGGATCTATCAGTTCATGTCACCACTCTGGAGGATCTACTAGCTCATGTCACTACTCTGGAGGATCTACTAGCTCATGTCACTACTCTGGATGTCTACTAGCTCATGTCAATACTCTGGAGGACCTACTAGCCCATGTCACTACTCTGGGGGATCTACTAGCTCATGTCACTACTCTGGCTGATCTACCAGCTCATATCACTACTCTGGAGGATCTACTAGCTCATGTCACTACTCTGGATGATTAACTAGCTCATGTCACTACTCTGGAGGATCTACTAGCCCATGTCACTACTCTGACTAATCTACCAGCTCATATCACTACTCTGGAGGATCTACCAGCTCATGTCACTACTTTGGAGGATCTACTAGCTCATGTCACTACTCTAGAGGATCTACTAGCTCATGTCACTACTCTGGAGGATCTACTTGCTCATGTCACTACTCTGGAGGATCTACTTGCTCATGTCACTACTCTGGGGGATCTACTAGCTCATGTCACTACTCTGGAGGATCTAATAGCTCATGTCACTACTCTGGAGGATCTACTAGCTCATGTCACTACTCTTGTGGACCTACTAGATCATGTCACTACCCCGGCTGATCTACTAGTTCATATCACTACTCTGGATGATCTACTAGCTCATGTCACTACTCTTGAGGATCTACTAGCTCATGTCACTGTCAACTGAAGATATAAGGCAATCCAAAATAAAAGAGGAAAATCCAGGAATGTCCTCTTTGCGGACTGAAATATGCAAAATTCATGAATTTATCAAAAAAGTGCAAATACATCAATTGTTTTCCAATTTTTGTAAACTGTGCATAACTCCGATGGTTAGAAGAAATTTCTTCTCTGTAAGAAAAAAAAACAAATAAGAAACTTGCGTAAAAATATGAGAATATGCCACGTCAAAAATTTCTTCGATCAGACCGTAATTTGAAATACATAGAGAAGCCAGTTTAATGGAAGAAATTTCTTGTATTTGATATACAATAAAATCATTGGAGCAGTAAGTTTATTGGAAGAAAAGTTGCATTAGCTCGTTGGAAGAAATTTCTTCTTTCAGATTTAAACCTGAAATGAAATATATAATCGAAGCCGTTAGTTCGTTGGAAGAAATTTATTCCATCAAAACTACATTTAGATCTCAAATGAGTGTAGCTTTGAGTTTGTTTGAAGAAATTTCTTCTGTCCAACAAACACATAAAATGAAATACTTGTAGCAGTTAGTAAGCGGAAAGGAAGGTCTTCTATCAAACATTCAACGAAATATTTGAAGTAGTTATTTCGTTGGAAGAAATTTCTACTATATCAGACCATCATTTGAATCTTTACATACCTGTATCTGTAATTTCTTTGAAAGAAATTTCTTCCATCAAACTAAGACCTAAAAGAAATACTTGTATCTATAAGTTAGTTGGATGAAATTTCTTCAACATACATAGACCTGAAATGAAATACTTGTGGCAGTTAGTAAGTTGGAAGAAATTTCTTCTATCATACATAGACCTGAAATGAAATACTTGAGGCAGTTAGTAAGTTGGAAGAAATTTCTTCTATTATACATAGACCTGAAATGAAATAATTGAGGCAGTTAGTAAATTGGAAGAAATTTCTTCTATCATACATAGACCTGAAATGAAATACTTGAGGCAGTTAGTAAGTTGGAAGAAATTTCTTCTATCATACATAGACCTGAAATGAAATACTTGTGGCAGTTAGTAAGTTGGAAGAAATTTCTTCTATCATACATAGACCTGAAATGAAATAATTGTTGCGGTTAGTAAGTTGGAAAACATTTCTTCTATCATACATAGACTTGAAATGAAATACTTGTGGCAGTTAGTAAGTTGGAAGAAATTTCTTCTATCATACATAGACTTGAAATGAAATACTTGTGGCAGTTAGTAAGTTGGAAGAAATTTCTTCTACCATATATAGACTTGAAATGAAATATTTGTGGCAGTTAGTAAGTTGGAAGAAATTTCTTCTATCATACATAGACCTTAAATGAAATACATGGAAAGTTAGTTCGGTGGAAGAAATGTTTTCAAAAATGAAAGTCCCTGAATGTTTTTCAAACTTTTTATGTCTAAAAGAAATGATAAAAAAACCCAGAGTCTATCTAAATACTATCTGCCAAAAACAATAAATCATTAATTTATCAGAAAAATACTGCCAACAATGGTAGTCATAAATTTATCAGTATAAAACGGAAAAGGGGGGATTCAAAATATTTCTTTGGATGTTATTTGTCGATTATGAAGAAGCTTTTCCCAGAAGTTTCACCAAATTTCATAAAGACTTACAAAGGGTAATTGGCGTCTAAAAACTTAAAACTTAGACTAAATCTATATGTTAAGTCCAAAAAAAAAAAATATTCATTTATCAATAAAATTTGGAAAAATGGAGAAAAAAAAATATATTCATATTTTTTACCAGACTCAAGCTAGCGACCAATTCCAGCGACCAATCAAGCTAGCGACCAGTTCTATTGACCACTAAACTTAACAATGAGCATCAACACGTTAGACAATCATTCAGAGATATATCTGAAAATCACAAATTGACATTGTGCTACAACGTTCTACTAATAAGAAATACGTAATATATCGCTTTTAAATGTTTAATGGACCACATGTCTACATTTGCAATAAATAGGGGACGGAGTAATAAATACATATCCTTTTTAGAAAGGAAAAAGTAATTAATTTTGTTTAAGTTTTACTTTGGATTTCAATCTTTCTAACAATTAACGTGAATAGCGTGCTTGCTCAAGGCTTATGCTCTAAATCAGTAATTCAGTATTTGAAGATTTTATATTACATGGCATTATACATTCATATAAAATCGAGATCTTCGTTCCTTGCAAAAAATGAATGAAAAAAAAGAAACAATAAAAAAAACAAAACAAGTCAAAAAACCAAAAGTATCTGGAATGTTATTTGTTTGCGATACTTTAAACTAAGATTTTTAACGTCTAACAATAACTACATATAGTATAGATGAATTAATAACAGGCAATCTTAGTACATAACGGCTAAACCAAGTCTCAAGATTCAGAGGTGTATTAAGTATTGTAGAACAGAATAAAACAATCTTAGTACATTAGTGCAGATGTCAATTTACGGTGAGAAAAAAAAAATTAAACTGAACAAGAAAGACGCTATATGCGGTAGAAAAATCATATAACGGCTTTCTATACTCTCGGCATCCTCAAATATCGTGTATTTCCTTAAAATCCCTTTAGGTAAAGAATTACTATATCGGCCCGGTGAAAAAGAACATACAAGGAAGTAGTACATATTTCAAACAAAATAGTTCCTACGCATATAGCCAAAACTTTGTCAATAAGTGAAATATTTGGTTTATTTTGGTATAAATGAAAGTTTAATCACTTGGGATCACTATAGGACCCTTGTTGAAAGTCTCTTTTGAATGATAAAAAAAAAAGAAATTATAAACCAGGGAATATTTGCCCTGTTGCTCAGATTTTGCTCAGTACCTGTTTTTGTACTTCCAAATTTCCCGGAACCAGTCAACACATATAGGTACTGTTAAGCTGATTTTTTTCCAGGAGAAGTAATGATAATGTATATTTTGCCATTGAATTACTGTCATATAATTTGAAGATAGGACAATGGTTATTATTTTTACGATACTGCGTAAAAGGGCCGGACGGGGGTGCACTTTCCCACCCGGGCATTTCCATGAATAAAAGGGCCTGGGACAAGATTTCAATCCCACTAGGTGTGGGTAAAAACTTTGCCGTAGGGAACTGTACACAAAGACTGAAAAATGTGCCCATACCCATAATTGATAGGTAACTCAGACTTTGGGTGGCCAGTGAAGTCTTCAGGTGCACTTTCCCACCCAGGTATTCATATGAGTTGAAGATATGGATAATAGCTTTCAAACTAACAACCTGTGGTCAAGAACTTTGCCGTAGGGAAACGGGAGGATAGCGATTCCTGCCACCACCCCTGTGCTGAAAAATGAAAAATTTGGTATGTTGTTGTGAGCTTCCGGTGCACTTTCCCACCCGGGCATTTCCAGGAATAAAAGGGCCTGGGACAAGCTTTCAATCCCACTAGGTGTGGTTAAAAACTTTGCCGTAGGGAACTGTACACAAAGACTGAAAAATGTGCCCATACCCATAATTGATAGGTAACTCAGACTTTGGGTGGCCAGTGAAGTCTTCAGGTGCACTTTCCCACCCAGGTATTCATATGAGTTGAAGATATGGATAATAGCTTTCAAACTAACCACCTTTGGTTAAGAACTTTGCCGTAGGGAAACGGGAGGATAGCGATTCCTGCCACCACCCCTGTGCTGAAAAATGAAAAATTTGGTATGTTGTTGTGAGCTTCCGGTGCACTTTCCCACCCGGGCATTTCCATGAATAAAAGGGCCTGGGACAAGCTTTCAATCCCACTAGGTGTGGTTAAAAACTTTGCCGTAGGGAACTGTACACAAAGACTGAAAAATGTGCCCATACCCATAATTGATAGGTAACTCAGACTTTGGGTGGCCAGTGAAGTCTTCAGGTGCACTTTCCAAACCAGGTATTCATATGAGTTGAAGATATGGACAAGCTTTCAATCCCATTAAAATGAAAAGCATATATCTATAGGTTGCAATTCTGTAAATACAGACAATGCAATTTCCCATAGGAACTCCCTTTGCGGCTAAAACTGTGACACTTTTACTATGAAGTTTCGTGAAAAATAATATCCCAGAACGGAAAGTTTATATGCACTACTATTTTATTCAAAGGTCAAAATATAGGGCTGTGCGGCATATTTTCAACATTTATATGCCATGAACTTCTAAGAGTTTAAACTTATATTAAAATTCTATACTACCCTTACCTCCATTTTTGGACCTCCTAAGAATTAAAATTTAGCCGCTACCATGTTTATCTATACTGGTTACATTCCCAAGTGATGTCTCTATGAGATGAAACACAGAGATCATCAATGGGAACCAGTACGTTAACAAATTAACATACCTATGAATATTAAATATCTCCCCAAAAGAGGCGTGGTTTGAGAAACAGCTGTATTTACAAAGTGCAACCTATACAAACATTTATTCAAATAGAAAACTCTCTAAAAACACTTTTTCTCACAACAATACTTATTTATCAGAATTATAGCCTTAAAGAAATCACTGCATATACTCTAAGTCTCCTTTTACAGTACATTTTATACCCCTACCCCTGTTTCAATTTTTTAAAGATTTTGAAAACAAGACTCTAATTATTGCCAGCTTACCCTATGTGCATGTTTTCTGACATGAACTGTCTAAAACCTGTTTGAAACTATTCTGATAACAAATTGAAAGCATTTTAGAATACTATAAATGTTTTGTTTAGTAGTTAAGCATTCCAACATTCAAGATTATACAAAGTATCCAAGCCTGCCTGTGTCTCCAGTCCACATCTTACTGTATGCCTATTTGTCAATGAAAGTTCACAATTTCTGCCTCAAATGGTCAGTTTAGAATTCTTGTCACAACAGTATCATCCCTAACCATATATCTAACATAAGTTAGTTAATATATGTCCTAGAAGTGTTTAAACAAAGGCATATTTGCAAAAGTTGTATTTATGAAGATATCAGTCTGGTGCATAAATTCACTAAAAGTTTGATTGAAATGACTGCTTACATCTGATTTTTGCATAAC